TTTGGCTCTCTTGCTGAGTTCGCAGGAAGGGCGCCTTACCTGAAGAGTTGGGTTACTGGAACCCTCCAGGGGTATGGGGCTGTATTCTGGGGGTTTCCGAAAATACTGAAATAGGTTCCTATAAAAAGGATTATCCTATTTTGGGGGCATATTAAGGGTAGCCCCTTTTTTTGGAAATACCCATATGGCGGATTTTTCTCTTCTGCGCACTTTGCCCAACTGCGCCCGATGTTGTGCTTCGGCAACCACCATTGCTCGGCGCAACAAATCCTAGGCTGCCCAGTAACCTAGGCTTAAAAAGGGTGCCCTTTTTTGCTTAAAGGGGAGGGAACCTAAACCCCCCAAAAAAGGGAATAAGGGCACTACTGGGCATCCTAGAATCTAAGAAGCACGATTCCCAGAAACGCGAGAAAGCACCACGCGACGAAAGATTTGTCTCTAAACCCTGCAGTTTCTCTTACGAAAGATGTCTAGCAACTCTAGTAGTACACAGAACCTAAGAAACGCGCGCAGGGCGCTGTTTAGAGTATAAGGCTTGTGAGAGTCGATGGTGGGTACTTGCTCGTACTAAGGGTTAAGATCATTTCATTGGGGAAGCTGCCCACAAAAGCCGCAAAGACCGAATAAGTGCAGCAGCGATGCCCTCTAAACCCGAAGACCCAAGATGGCTTCCAACTCCCCTATAAACACCCTTGTAGAACCCCAAACCCTAAACCCTAAACCCTATAGACCCTAGCCCCTCTGTGCCCCCTCTTTCCTTCTTGGGCCTGCGGAAGGAGGAGGCGCGAGCCATCAGGGGTGTAGATGTCGACATCCTGGCGGTGCGAGGAAACTCGCCCCAGGGTTTAGGGTTTAGAGTTTAGTGTTTAGGATTTAGGGTTTATAAAGCTTCAGGGGGTTTAAGGATTACCCTAAACTCTAAACCCTAAACAAGTATAGATGTTAGGGTTTCGGGTGTAAGACTTACAAGGTTTACCCGGACCCGAGACCCTTGTTTGGGGCGTTGCCAAATGGTAGTTCCTGCCTGAGAAGGGGCGCCCCCTAAAACCTAAATCTAATCTTAAGGGGTATAAGGAGGGACCCCTACAAGGGACCCTTAACTTAACCTTATTCCCCTATATAACCACTTTAGTACCTTGTATAGTCCCCCCTATATACCTAAGTAGCCCCTAAATAACCCCAAATAACCCCTAAGGTCTTTATAAGGGTCCCTCCTTGAGTCCCTTGATGAACCCTGAGGTTCAAGGTCTTCCCCCGCCTCGAACACGATACCGGGAGAAATGCCGACTTGCACCTGCCAAGGTATAGGGTTTAGGGGGTTTAGGGTTTTGGGCTGCAGGCTCCATGGCCTGAGCCTGAAAGGTCTAGAGAAAGTCCCTAAACCCTAAACCCTAAACCCTAAACCCTAAACCCTAAACCCTTAATAAATCCACTCGTGAATGGGTTCTGATAAGGGGGGCGCGGTTGTTCTACCAGGCCTTACATGTTCACATACATGCGGTGCTATCATGTAGACCAGGGATTAGTGGTATAACATGCAATGGGAAGGTCACGGGAAATTATAAGACAATGAAAAAATGACGGCCCTTTTTTCACACAGCAAGGAAATCCGAAGCTGTGCGGGGGTGACACTCAGAAAATCGCCAAGGCCATGTTGATGATGAAGACCTTGGCAGGGTCAAGACGCCAAGCCAGCTATGCAAAAAAAACATGCACGAGATAGATCAGCATCCAAAAAAATCGCCAAGTACACCTGCAATGCTAAAAAAAAACATGACTGAATACATCAAAGTGCTGTGTCTGAAAGTTGCTTGACATTGTTGCTCGGCTGAACTGTTGTGATTCCGAGTTGATGGCGCGGCGTTGCACGTTGGTGTTGTCTTGGATTGTTGTTCGCTGTGAATCATGATTATTGATGCTGGCAACTACGCGAAACAAACACTGTGCAGCGTGGAACAACAATAACAAACACTGACAAACACAACTGACAAACACTGCACTGCACTCTATAGTACAGTTAGCAGCGGTAGCAGCGCACGCACTGATTTTTTTTAACATCGTGCCATGCAACCTCACGTCGAAAAGTCGAAAGGTTGTGAGCTCCATGCAGCTCCAGGCTCGCAGCTCCAGGAGCTTAAATCACAACATTCCAGGCTAGCCAGGGCCAGCAACTTCACGGCTCGAAAGGTTCGAGCAAGTTGTCGAGCTGCTTCGACTCTGCGCATAGAATTTGACATGCGCCAGCGTTGCAGCACAAAATTCCTAGCTATATTTAAATATAGCTTGAGCTCAGCATCGAACCGAAACTGTACAAGCACATTCGACGCACGACGCACAACGAGCTCTCTGGTTGTCGAAGCTTCTGGACTTCTTGATATACATTCACTCATGACTCATGACTCATTGCGTTGACCCGTATGACCCATATGCCCAGACCCATATTGCCAAGTGCCGCACGCCGCATGTCCATACGCAAAGAAATACAATGTACAACAAAATAGAACACGTTGCTATCGTCGCCGCCAATTCCGCATTGCCGTCATCTCCAGCAAACAATTCAACAGCGCGCAGCGACAGTGCATGGAGGTTCACAGTACGTACCGGCCGGTATGTACTATGGACTATGTACCAATATGACTAACCGTAATTGCAGCAGCAGCAACCAGCAACAACTTACGACTTACAACTAGTACAACTTATAAACTGAAACTATAAGTATAAGTACAACTAATTAATATTAAAATAACTCGGTGCACTGGTTGCCAGATTAGCAAGTGCAGCAAGTACTAAGAACCTCCAAGCACTGCGCAGAATCTGTGACGGCGCTAGCCGCTGCACTTCAAACAGCTGACGCCAACGCAAAACAACCGCGCTTCAGAGCCAGCCGGGCCAACCAGTGGCCAACCAGTCCTCAACCAGCTCAAATCTCCACGTCCGTCTGCCCAAGCGTTGGGACACCCAGCAAAAAGGTCTCGAGCCTTCAAGAAAGGATTAGGCCAGGATTGGGTTTGGCTGGGCTCGGCTTTGCATTGGCTTGCATGCATGTATAATCAGGAGCCATGAGCCATGCGTGCAAGCTTACAAGTGACACTTGTAACAAGTGCATGCATAACAAATACTAATACACCGTTCACCGCCCAGCCTGTCGTAGGTTGCAAATCGTTCGTGCTTCAAGAACTCGTACGCGTAGTTCTGGAAGAACTGGATGTTCAGGGCGCAGTGTTGAAGCCACTGCCTGAGACCCTCAAGCTCCTCAACGTCGCTGATGTAGACGAACGTTGCTTCGAGCAGCCTGGCGGCTTTGCGGGTACGGTTAGAGGTCAAGCCTGTGGTCGACACGAACCCCGGAGCAACCATGGCCAGCAGGGCCCGGTTTTGGATGTTTCCAATGGGCGGCCAGCCAGATGAGGCTTCGTGACATCTGTCGTGAAGCCTATCGAGCACTGGCTCTGGCAGGGTGTGCACGTAGGCAATCCAGGCCTCCATATGCGGAACGATATGGGCAAGTGCCACGCCTAGGTTCCTGCAGGCGACCAGCACGTTCCACTTGTGTTCCCAGTCGGGGCAAATCGGAGTCGCCATGGTGCAATGCTGCTGACGCGGCTGGCGCAGCACTACTTGTATGTTCTGCTGCTAGCGAGCAAACCTGACTTTCCACATGACTGCCGTTGAGGCCGGTGAGGTGCGGCGAGGCGGTGATGATGAAAGCTGAAAGCCCTGCTAGCCTGCTAACTGCTAAGTGCTAATGGACCATGAACTTCATGAACCATGTGACCATGGGACCATGTGACAATTGTGAACATGCGGCATGCGGAGTCCAGCCCAGCTTCTTGAGCACTTGAGCACGGTCAAACGGGTGTTTAGAATATTGAATACAGAATGCATACACAACACACAAACAACAACGTTGACGCCGCCCATGCATGCATCAGCTCAGCCAGCAAGTAGCAAGTCAGCAAGTCAGCAAGTCAGCAAGTCAAGTCAGCAAGTCAGCAAGTATGATCTTGCACACAAGACACGGTGCCTCCCGCAAAGTTGACAGCATCACTGCGACACGCAGCAACAAGCCACTAAGAGACTAGGAGACTAAGAGTAACTACGTGTGATTATGCACTGACAAGTTGTCTCACAGTTAAGTTAGTTGACAGCGTGCAGCATGCAGCACCGCAACACGCAGCAAACATTATCATGTTCATGTTTATCACGCATTATCGAATTATCGGGCAATTAAGAAGAACAACTCAACCCATCCCATGAATAAACCTCGGCATATGAGACTGAGGCTGAGGCCGTGACTCGTGACGCAGCGAATGGTCACCACTGCCATGCCAGACCGCTGCGGCCAGCGACTCCACGATACCCACCTGGCATCAGTATTGGACATGACATGACCGCATGACCGTCACCGTCATCATGACAGACAACCGTCAAGCGTCAAGCGTCAATCATCCGTCAGTGTCACTGTCACAGTCACAGCACTAGACTGCAAGCAGAAAAGCACATCACATCAACTTCAAGAAGTGCAGTTGACATGTTTTCCCGCCCAATCGCCATTCGCTAGTCGCTGGTCACATCTGGTCGCTTTGTTGCCAGATGCTCAACGCTCGGGGAGCTAGTGAGCTAGTGGGAGTCGCGTCGCGCTGCCAGAAGCAAACCACCAAGCCTCGAAATAGCTGCGCAGGGACTCCAACTGCCGTGTTTGCTTTCCCTGGATTCAGATGGGATTACAGTCAGGTCAGATATGATATTGCGCCGTTGTGCCCTACACTCCTAAAGTGCGGTCTCAGCGTACAATAGGGCCATAGGGCCTTAGGGCCTTAGGCAAGCCTAGCAAGCACTTTCAAGCAGGGAAGCGGCAAACTCCGAGCGCTGTACGGAACGTGACAGTGCTTGGCTTTCGATAACACACATGGCATATCACATGAACATGAAAATTAAACATCTGGGCGATCCAGCACAAGGACCGACTGCTCAAGGTTCTGTCTCATTCATCACTCCGCTCACTTGAGCAAGTGGCGTGTCTGCTTGGTCATCACTGTGGGGCTGATGTCCAGAAGTATATCGTCGTGGCATGGCGCCGCTTCCTCTGCCTTTGGCATGGTGCCGCTAGCCTGTTCTGCTTGCCGCTGTTCGAAAGCGACACCACCCATGACCAAGTTTTGTGTTTTCTTCTTGATCAGCTTGCCCGCAATTTTGGTCTGGTTCTCCTCTTCAAAGTTGGTACGAGAGCACAAAACCATTTCAGGCGCACGAGCAGGATCGACATTCGACAGCTTCTTGGCGGCTTCGCTGCGAAAGTAGATGTATGGCCGCCGCATGTGAACAGCAAAGTTCTTGCCACCGGCCCCGGGGAAATTCAAGGTCTCCTGCCACTCAACACTGTTGCATCAGATACGGACCGGCTACCGCAACAACGCAACACGCAGCATGCAGTATGGATCGGAATCAACCAAGTGCAATGATTATTTAAACAACACAACGTAATTTACGGCTAATACTGGCTAATACTAATATACAGCTAATACAGCTTCAGAACTGAATAACAAATGAACAATGAACAAGTGAATCAACATGAAGTTGTACCAGCTGGCCTCGTCGAAGCCTGTCATAAACATGGCTTTGGCTTCATCGAAGCCAGCCTTGCACATCCATACTGCGCACGGAGCTAGGCTCGTCGTTTTCGAGAAGCCTTGCTCATGCAGCCAGAAGTTAATCGTCTGTTGATCCACGACAACGCTTGCCACCTTGACGGTCTTGGGGCCCTGCTCTGTAGTGACGGATCCAAAGGCGTACACCCGCTGCATACCAAGCTCCTCTGTAATGCTCTCTGTTGTCAGCATGATCGAAGCCTTCGCGTCAACCGTCAGCAAGCCAAGCATCACATGTGATGAGCACTTCCTTAGCAAGCAACAGCAACAGCAACAGCAACAGCAACAGCAACAGCAACAGCAACAGCAACAGCAACAGCAACAGCAACAGCAACAGCAACAGCAACAGCAACAGCAACAGCAACAGCAACAGCAACAGCAACCACAGCAACAGCAACCACAGCAACAGCAACCACAGCAACAGCAACCACAGCAACAGCAACCACAGCAACAGCAACCACAGCAACAGCAACCACAGCAACAGCAACCACAGCAACAGCAACCACAGCAACAGCAACCACGGCAACAGCAACCACAGCAACAGCAACCACAGCAACAGCAACCACAGCAACAGCAACCACAACAACAGCAACCACAACAACAGCAACCACAACAACAGCAACCACAACAACAGCAACCACAACAACAACAACAACAACAACAACAACAACAACAACAACAACAACAACAACAACAACAACAACAACAACAACAACAACAACAACTCGAGCTCAAATCAAGCAGCCATGCATTAACCGTGATGTTATTCTCGATGAGACATCGCAAGGCAATGATGTCCAGCACCGTGATTGAGTCACGTGACATCTTCCCCAAGCTCACATCCTGCATGGTGTAGATGTCGGACAATGCCGGCGGCGTGCTGGACGACAAGCTCGACTGCGCGGTGGTGCTCATCGCATCTGCGTGTGTCGGTGTTGACTCGTCCTTGATCTCCATCTGTTGCCGAGTCGGGCCAAAGGCCTGGCCACGACTGCCTGATGAGTCGTTCTGCCCGCGAAACTTGCTCTTGGGACAAACTGCGTTTGGCGATGGCAGCACTGAAGCAAGCGCAACTTTGGAATTTGCCAGCGTTGCATCTGGGCTGAGCAGTTGCGCACACTGCTTTGGGTCGGCCAATATCTTCTTGACAGCGAAGTTGAAAACACTGTACCAGATCGTGCTCCAGGAGTCTTCCGCCGGAGTGCTGATCGTATCGCGTTGCTTCAAGTTGAGCAGTGTTTCAATCTCCATAATGTAGTTCGTCCCGTGCTCACAAAGGTACTGGATCACCAAGCGCAAGCATTTGGCACCTGTAGCCGCGAGATCTTCGAACGTGATCAGGTTCTTCTTGGCCTTGGCGTGGGTGTCATCTCCTTCACCATTGTCATTCGAGGTTGCGCCCGGGGCCGGCACCTCCATCATAGACAGCATCATGACAAGCATGTAACGGACCTTGGCGCAAACAAGGGCCTCAACAGCCTGCTCGTTGAGTGATGATGACGCCTGGGACTTCGTCGTCTTGGCCGCTGGAGTCACCGGAGTCGTCGGAATGTCAAGCGTCTCTGGCAGGCTACCTTTGTTCTCATGCATGGTCTCGGCGGTGTTCTCAACCTTTGCATGTACTGCGCCTGCGGCATCTGCAGCGACTGCCAGCACGTGCTCTGGAACTGGTTCTGCCACCACCGCCTCATGAACTTTGAGCAGAAATGCAGCTTCCCTGGGCAACGAATCCAAAACAGATTCTTCCTTGACATCTTTGGCCTTTGGTCGTCGTGGGCTTTTGCCAGTCTGTGGTGAGAATTGCGAGGCATCATGCCCCCGACGTTGCGGCGTTGTTGTCGTAGCAGCCAGCACCACAGCCGCCGTACCCACGAGAGACGCTTGGGCGGGCACAGTGTCGTCTGTTTCCAGCGCCTGTGCAATGCTGGACACGAAATCCGGCAGAGCATGCACGTCATTGTGGTACTGGCATCGTGTGGCTGATGCGTCCCACGTATCAGTGCCAGTACGACAGCTGCAGAACGATGACTTGAACTGGGCTATGGCCTTCCGCAGTGACTGATGCATGTACACGTTCGACGAATTGTTCTTGCGAAGAAACTCATTCGCAATGTGCAGCGAATCCTTGCTGGCCAGAATGTCCCGGGCAAGTGTTTCTGCGGACACGTGTCCGAACGTAGACGACGACTCCGGAACACCATCCTGCCATTGCGATTGCCTTGACAGCTGTTGGAGCACTGCGTCCATTCTCATGCCCTCCGTAATACCAGACTGCGATGTCTTTGCCGCGAAGACGTTCTTGAGATGAGCCTGCAGGACAGGCCGCAACTTTGACCATAGTGCAAAGGTTTTGCGATTGATGGTGACCTTGCAGTTCAGAGCGAACTCAAGCCCAAGACTGAGGCACTGTGAAAGCGCTTCACTGGCGTCCTTGAGCTGCTTGTTGTCGCTTTGCCGACAAATGTCGACTTGCTTCAGTGGCCCGTCTGGCAAACATCGTGCCAGACAACCCATCAAGTCGTCCAGCCACAATCGTGCACGTGTCATACCGTCTCCACCAAAGTCGTCGTCGTCCATCTCGATGTCGTCCTGCAATGTTGCTGCCTCACCATCTGCAAGAGGCCCGGCTGCAGCTTTGGCCTTTGCTTTCGACTTGGCTTTTGCCTTTGATTTTCCCTTGGCTTTTGCCTTCGGTGCCTTTGCTGGCTTCTCAGTTGCAGCCAAGTCAGGAACACGGGGGCGTTTCGTTCCGCTTGATGCCCCGACACCGTCAGATGCATGTGACGCCGCTCTTGCCGCGTCGGCAATGGCTTGGCTTTGAAGCAACTTCTCCACAAATATGGCACCGTAGACAGAGCAACACAACTTCTCTTCCACAAGCTTCATCAACGAGCTTTGCGGCCCAAAGCCTCTGCAGCACACGATGGCATGTAATCATGTTATTCATAAAACAACATGAAAGTATGAACCCCTGGATCGGCCACGCAGCTCACAATGTATGGAGGACGATGTTGTTGTTGCGTCGCCTGCACAGCCTGGCTCGAGGCTGACCCGTGCGTAGCGAGGGGCGCTCCGTCAGTCGTGCTGGTCGGATCCAGCAGTGGAACCTCAGGCGGGGCACCGGCCCTGGCACTATGACGTTGATTGTTTGATCAGGCCGCACACCGCCTCACCCTTACACTTACACCTTACAGCCTCACACCCAATGCACGCACTCAACAGTTGCGGCCAAAGCACACACAGTTTGCACAGTTCCAACAGGCAGTGACCCAGCAGCCACGCAGGTTGTCCCTTGAAGTGCGAATCCATGATGGTTGCGAAGGAATTCATCGATCCCACAACTGACTCGTGGCTTTTCAGATCCGAATGCAAGAAATCTGTTTCTTCAGCAAAGAAGCGGTCCCACTCAGCGAAAATGCCAAAGCTCACCAACTTGCGCCGCAATGCTTTGGAATTTTTGAATCCCAGCACACTGTATTTCTCCTGCGATCCGCAGCAAGCAAGACATGACTCGCACTGGACCCATGCTACTTACTGAGCCTAGCCACACCTCATCACATCAAAGCAATCCTTGTACTCGGACGAGTCAAGCCAGCTTGCGAACACGTCGTGGTACGAGTTCACAGACCTACTGGTAATCAGATTGCGATCGCAATAGGCACGCCACGCCTGCAAGGTTGTTCAGCATGAGCACGAGACAATGACAACAACAAACTCACATTGCAATCAACTCATCAATGCAACAAGTTGCACCTTGTCGACATCTTCGACACCTGTGACTAGCTCATGAAAGCTGATGCCCCCGCCGTGGTGAAAGTTGTTGTGAGTATCCTTGAGATACCTCGATTGCGGCGCGTAAAGTAAGCATTGCTGTCAGACTTCCAAAATGAATAGCTGTCGTCTGTCTGCAAAAATAATACAGCCTAGCAACGTCACCACGTCTCCAGGGGTTCGTGCGTGAAGCACACGGCACCCGGAGCCTGCTCGTAGGCCGAGTAGAATGCCACTGACCTAAGAGGCGAGTAGATTCTCATCACATTTGTTGCTGCTCTAGTCTAGCAACTGTGCTCCCACACGGTGCCCGCTGCCCCATGAATGTAGCAAGCAGTAAGCAGCAAGCAGTGAGTGATCAGTGACAAGGCTGTAAAACTGTAAGGCTGTGGCAGCGTTCCGTAAGTCACCGCCAGATAAGGACCGTTCGGCTTTTCCGGCCTGAAGTCCGGCACAAACTACTCTGTGACTCTGTGCAACTGTAGTCTGTCTCACAGACTTATAAATCATAGCCGCGTAGCCTGAATTAATTAGACTTTGCTACTCAGCCGGGGGTCGCCAAAAGCCAAGGTTCACCACGGCAGCCTTCAAGTATGCCGTGTTGCAGGACACCACGAGTGTAGCGTAGGCGAATTGATAGTTGTTTCCTCGCGTTCAGGGGATGACGGATGATTCCTTTGTTGCCGTCCGGCAGAAACCACGGGACCGTCGTTGTGGCGTTCTGGTCCACCTGCAAGATGGCAACTTGGAACTGACGACAACGCGACGACAATTCGACTGACTGACATGATTGTGATCGTGCCTGGTAAGTCTGAAAAACAGCATCCTGCAAAGGTCTGCCACTCAGACGCCCGAAACGCTCGGCCAATGAGCGTTGGCCGTAGATTGTGTCTGATGCTTCCCGCAACGCCACAGAGCCAATAACACCAGCTGCTGCTGATCCTGCTGATCCGGTGGTTGCCATTGGCACAGGTGCTGCCATAGCAACAGGCTGCTAGTCCCAGCACAGCCCTTGTTGATGCAACAATCACAGCAATCAGCAGTCACCTTGCCCGACTGGCGACACACACGCAACAGAGCCTAATTACACACGAGCCAAAGCAGCAGTCAGTCAATCACAAGCTCAGCACGTTGCAAAGAGATTTAGTCAGAGTCATGTTCGTGTTGAATCGTGGCAGGAGATACACTCATACAAGCACAAGCACAAGCATAAATATCAGTTCAGTTCAACTGATTCAACCGCTGAATCGCGCGGTGCATGCTGATCGACTCACGGACTGACCAACAACACTTTCCGGCACTTCCGACCAAGGCTTTTCTCGGCCTTTGCGGATCTGTACAACTGTGCGATTTACAGACAAACTAAACTACCTGATCATGATTTGAATCATTGAGTTGAGTCATCATCGAATCGGGCCACTGAACCACTAGAATAGCCGCGCTGCCAAAATCCTTGCCAAACTGTCGAAATTTCGACTCGTGTGCGCGGCGCCAGGCGGTGCCTCTCACGTACAAGCATAACTAACACAAGTCCGAGCTAGTTAGCTCAAGTTAAATGATACAAATGTTAATGTTCAATGCTAAACCGACTAACTCTGACTCTTCTTTCTTACGGGCCTTCTTCTGCACACAGCCAATGGCGTACAGCATTGCTAGCCCCACCGCCACGCTGCGCATGCCATTGCCGGCCTGGTAATCGGTCGAGTCATGTTCGTCTCACAATCATGCTGCCACAAGGTGTCGCCGGCTCACGAAACTCACAGAACGTGCCTGTTGCATTTGTGCCGAACGTGAGCGTGTTGGAGCTGAGCTCGCATCGCACGTGAAGCTGCAAGCCGCCACACCAAACGACATTGTCTTGTCAATTGGGAATCCTTGGCTCATCAGCGCCTCTGTGGAAAGAAGCCAGCGGCCATGCGCGTCGGACCTCGCACCAAACCATGCTGCACAGAACACAAGTTAACACAACACAACACATCACGTGTGGTAACATTAACATACACACATACATATGTAAACATTGTAAACACTCAGATGCCTACCACAGAATACCAGCATTGCGGATCAGCGTGTGAAGTTTCGACCATCCGCTCATGGTAGCACTGAAGTTGGGATTTTGATTCAATGAATATGCACCGCCAGTCTTCCGTGTTCGGTACTCTGCCAGGAAATTGAACTCGACTGTCGTCAACGCACGCTCAAATGCCTTGCGAACAAGTTCAACATCATTCACGAGTGCATGCTTGAAGGCTTCCAGGCTGGCGATACCGCACCCATCTACTTTTGCTCGGCTTTCAGGTCGAGAGCATGCCCACATCAATTCTTCCCAAACGTCCTGGAAAACAAAAGCAATCAAATCAGGCATCATGATATGTTATCAGGTCAGATATGGTCCTCGGCAGGAGAACCAAAGTATGAATCCCAAGCAGGCTCCATCGCAGCCAGCTCCTGACAATACTGCAAGTGAGCATCCGAACACAGTCAATGTGAGTGTACAAATCAGTAACCCTGGCACACCCTGGCAATCCTGGTTGTACTCGCCAAACCTCACAGGCGCCCTGAACATCTCCACGAACACGTTGACTGGCGCAAGTGCAGCACCAGTCTTCCACTTATGGCGTAGAATGCAGTACTGTCTTGGTCTCGTTATAGGCATGCCATACATGTTGGGGTCAATCAGCGCCACGGATACAAAGTATATCGCTCCCAAGAAATGCTCCAAGGTTGATGCGTCGAAATTAATGACGTTCTCCTGGATTATCAGGGATTCCTGATAATCCCATCGTCGAGAAATCCAGCTGAGGAAGGCTTTCCACGTGACCCCCTGCTCGCGCATCATCAAACCTCGCTGACTGTAATCCGTGCATGGTGTCCCTGCAACATGTAAATCAGCTGCACGATCGACCTCACACATCTGCCCGTGCTTGTAGCACCATGCTTTTCTGATTGTTGCTTCGCCCCTGCGCATCAGCGGCAACAGTACTTCATTAATTGCCGTGTCGTTGGCTGCCAGGACATCCAGCTGTGCGGCAATATGGGGACGCCAGAAGTCATTCATATCCCCGAAGACATGCTGTGGACAATGTGGGTGACGAAGCAACTCTTCTCGGGCCTGCGCAGACCACTCAACCGCCGACATGTTGGCTGGCGCAGGGACATGAGATTTGTCCATGTTCAGCTCCGCGCAGATAGCTGTGCCCATCATGATGAAAGACGTAGCAGGAGTGTCAATGCCGGAAAATTCTGTAGACAGCGATGTTGCTCGCATGTCTTGTAGCAGTTGATACAAGTGCTCAGAATGGGCCGTGCGCTCCTGAGACACAGACTCACTGATGAACTGTACATCTGGGTCTGGGTCTGAGTCACATACATCCATCAAGTTGCAATCATGCTCACGACTCAGAGCTGCCATAGCTTGATCCACCACATGTTTGCAATTGCCTTGCTCGGCAACCGACCGACATATTCGCGCCACTCGCGCAGCATATGCCTTGTCACCATCAACGTCTTGCACCGGACACAGTCGAGCTGCAGCCACATTCCTGCACAACACATGCATGAGTGATAACACCACGACAATCGCACACATGAGCACTCCAACATGTCCAACATGGCAATGCATGCAGCAGCACGGGTCCTAGCAAAGCGAGCGAATGTTGTGACTGCCCAGACCGGCCACATCATCAGCCTAAACACGGAAGGCTTGTGGCCGTTGCTGTGTGCACACATGGGAGTCGCACTTGCCGAAGGCGTCGCCTCAGGAGACAACCCAACATTCATGCCTGGATTTGCTTGGAGGGTGGCATCGGCAGTTCCCGATACAGCCGTATCAGGATGCGAGTGTCCTGCTTGGAGTGTGGCTTCACATGTGGTCGTGTCCTGGCTGCCATGGCCGACGGTCGTTGCATGCACGGCATCCACGCTATCCGCTGCACCCACATCATCGTTTGTGGCGGCTATGCCCGCCTTTGCATCTTTCATCTCTGTCACAACATCTGAAGCGTTTGCTTCGTCCGACGTGGCCGGCGCCGTGGGGTTGCTTGCATCGTCCGTCTCAACCGCATCATTGGCAGTGGTTTTGCTCGCATCTTCAGTCTCCGCCGCCACACATTGCGCAGCGGCACTGCTCACATCTTTC